CTGTTTCGGATATTTCGTGTCCTGGCTTATTTCGCTTCGGCTCTGCTGAGACCTCTTTTCACGGAATATTACTCAATGACAGGTGAGTTGACCAGTTCCCTTTGATTCATTTGCTTGTGTTGACTCTTTCATTTCTTTCGTCGAAAAGTGTGCTGATTTTAGGTGGAATACAATAAAATAATAATGGAAAAGCTGACAGGATCTCTTTTCTAAATTTAGCTTTTCTGCTGTCGAGGCTTCCTTTTACGGAATACTCAATGACAGGTGATCTCTGAGTTGACCAGTTTCCTTCGATTCATTTGCTTATGCTCACCCTTTCATTTACGGAAACGTGTGCTGATTTTATTCGGATTTAATAGATCCATTCGTATCTCTTTGCCCTTGCCAACAGTGTGCGAAGAACGCGAGTTCACCTTCTTGACGGTAAGGCTTAGATGTGTTGTCGAAATACTCATGTTCATTGTACATTGGTACGTTACAAGTAAGGCACTGGTCATGATTGCTTCCGGCATTCCGTGCTCCGATCATGGGGTAGAATCTGAATTTTGCAGTTATTATTATTATTATTTTATTTATTTTACTAGGGTGTTTCCAGTGGCATAGCATCGTTGGCAGTTCCCAATCTGGAGGCGAAGGTTCAAGGACGCATTGACCGAGTACTAGTATGCAAAATAAATTCGCATATCAGGGAAAATCTCCATTATGGAGAGGTTCATGCATTCAGTGACTTGTTTGCTTCATACGAAACAAGCCAATGGGTGCAGTCTCGTGAAAATCTCGTACGATTGGATTTGTTTACTGGAGTCTGGGCTGTTTGATTTGTGAGTACCGCCGAGATTGCACTGCCCCAAATAAAGTTGCGTGCCGGTAGAGCAAGAATTACGATCTGCAATCTGTTTGTTGTACCTGCAAGAATGTGCTGTACATGTATCGTATTTTCTCTGTTGTTGTTTCAGTTGCCGTCATGTTGCCAAAGAAAGGTTCAGTGACTCATTTGTTTCATAAAAGACGAGTCAATGGTTTGGTCTGGCTTAGAATCTTTCGCTGTAGAAGAAATCTATTCGTGTCTCTATTGCAGTATTGGAGAAATAATTGTATTCACTCGTTATAAAAATAGGGTTAAGACAAACTCACAGAGCAAATGCCATCGGTCCCTTGATGTTCGTCCTAAAGAGGTTTGACTGGATATCATTCATACTCCCCCAAAGTCGTGTAACATGTTATTATTATGGAGTGCCTTGTTTATCTCTCAGTACCTCCAACCATATATCCTTGCCCCTTATATCCTCGGGATCAGTGTAGTTGTTGGAACGAGGTGTCGGACTCAGCAATGTATTTGTTAACATTTTAATACAATCATGTTTATTGTTCCTACTTTGCTGTGTTGTTTTAGATAATCGTGGACTTGTAACACTTTGAAATCATTGAACTGCTTCCAAAAGTTTTACCGACATCAACAGGATTACGATTTCATTACAATATGATGCCGGATGACCTTATCACGACAACCCATGACTACAATTATAAACACAGAATCAACAAAAACATCTGCGGCACGCACCTGGTTACAATTCTCATGTAAATGTGATTTAGGGGAATTAGGGTGTGGACATCTGAATTTTCTGAAAGACAAGACAATTTTATGAGTCATGATGAGTCATGAAATTCTGCAACATCCACAGAATGACCTGCGTATAAAAAAAAGTATCACCGCCACTACTCATATGATTCCCCTGCAGAAGAACATGAATACATGTATGCAAGACTAGTTCCATTTTCTGCAAGAAAAGGCTTGCACATCAATGCGTATAATACGGTATTGAAATTGATATGATACACGTACATGTACATAGCCATAGGGGCTCCCGTAAGAAGACCATAGCTCTGTGCGAAACACCCTAGTAAAATAAAATAATAATAATAACATGTAGAGTCGCTACATGTAGGCCATCATTTAGGGCATTCCATTGGTGACACAATTATAGGTTCTGATCGGTGGAATATGCTGCCTTCCACTGTTCGCTCTTGTACAGATTATCGCCCATTTGTTCGTTCATGCTTAACCTTTCTAGGGGCTCCCGTAAGAAGACCATAGGTCTGTGGGAAACACCCTAGTAAAATAAATAAAATAAAAATAATACCGGTAATATCCTTTAGCCAAAAAACAAAAGAAATTATAGCAATAAAAACTGCTTTATGGCAGTTTTCTAAAAAAAGTTATTATGTTCTAGTCCATGGACCCCATCTAAAAAGTAAGAAATTAACGAAATGTGATAGCCGAAAATTAAAATTTCACACAAAACCTCACAATAATCACACACGCGACAACCTTTTCCCCTCGTGGTCCTCTTTCACATGCAAGCATGTTGGCGCAGTACATGTACTTGTACAAGTACAAGTGTCGGAATAAACAAGTGTTGAAAGCCGTACTATTAGATCTTCAAGTGTCGTGATTATTGTGAGGTTTTGTGTGAAATTTTAATTTTCGGCTATCACATTTCGTTAATTTCTTACTTTTTAGACGGGGTCCATGGACTAGAACATAATAACTTTTTTTAGAAAACTGCCATAAAGCAGTTTTTATTGCTATAATAATGATGGTGTGAAGAAATTGGATAGGGAGGGAAGGTGGGAAAAGAAACACTGCTCACGCACGATCTTTTGTCTGGAAGAACACAACAGGGAAGCAAGATTTGGTTTTTTTCTTTTCAGCAAAACGGGCTGGGTGCGATTTGTGATTACGCAGCAAAGCAAAGCGCATGACTTCAGTCTTGAATGCAGTACCAAGCAATGCAGTGCGGTGTGTGCGCTAGTTCGGATTGTTGCTAACGAGTGCATGTACTAGCACAGTTAGTACCCCGGTACGGCAATACTCCAATAGCGACAAACAGCATGGTTTAGGTATCACGTGATCAGCATACCTCACGTGAGAACAGCATGTAGCACTTCCCGAACACTGCCGTCTATTTGAAGTAACAGTTGTTCGAACCTTTGACTTGGCGAGTCCTCTGATGCCACTTGCGAGTATCCTCAACCAATCTGACCTTGAAGATTCTGAGTGATGTTCACGCCCTTTTTCAAAGTGAGTGCATAAGAGGTGTGTTCATGAGTGTGTGAGGGTATGGCGACGACAAGCAGCATGCGACTAGAGCCACGCACTGCCTTTTACGCAAACAAGTCGTTAGCACCTATGACACAATCGACAGGCTTCAAGCATCACCCGTATTCCCGCTCTTCTTACCCGCCTTATCGACTTTTCTCTTCCGTATAGCCCTGGAGTTTGCTTCTCCTTTCTTAGAGTAGTTGAGTTAGCTTGAGAACATCTCAAGAGTTTTGAGTTCGTGTTCGCCATTTTTATCAGTTGTGTTTTTCCGTTGCTGTTTTCCATATTGCTGTTAAAAATAATATTATTATTACTATGATCAGTCGGGGAAGTGAACTGCCTGAAAAGAGAAAAAACGCCAGACCCACCAGGACTCGAACCTGGGACCCTGCTTGTCATGAGCAATGCTCTAACCACTGAGCTATGGGACCAGGCTGAACCTAGAAAGCGCTGACAAGTTTTTCACTCCAAAGGCAGCTCACAACACGTGCCACACATACTGATGGCACTTGGGTCTTTTTCCCTCCCCCAGGAGACCAACCACGGTCGGGCGGAGTGAAAAACTTGTCAGCGCTTTCTAGGTTCAGCCTGGTCCCATAGCTCAGTGGTTAGAGCATTGCTCATGACAAGCAGGGTCCCAGGTTCGAGTCCTGGTGGGTCTGGCGTTTTTTTCTCTTTTCAGGCAGTTCACTTCCCCGACTGATCCTTTGAATTTGAAGTTCTCCCATCCTTTCCAAATTATTACTATGGTTGATAAATATGATGGTAAAGACACACCTGGCAATATGGCGGTAAACACACGCCTGCCCACACACGCTCTCTAAGTTGCAAAGTTCTAGCACAGAGCTCTCCTTCTCACCACCACCACCATCAGTTCGCGCCTGGCGCCTAGTCGATGCATGGTTGGCGGTTTCCGACATAGCAGGCTGGTACATCAAGTAGCGCATGGCACATAGAAGACGACACAGCAACGACATAGCTCGATTGCGACGTACGTTTCGTCCCCGCTGGACTCATCAGGCAATCTTCTTCTTGGATGTCTTCATACGGAGCTTGGCTCGGGAGAATGAAGTTGAAGACACCACTGCAGCTGTACTTATGGTTGATAAATATGGCGGTAAACACACGCCTGCCAAGGAGAGCTCTGTGCTAGAACTTTGCAGCTTAGAGAGTGTGTGTGGGTAGGCGTGTGTTTACCGCCATATTGCCAGGTGTGTCTTTACCACCATATTTATCAACCATAAGTACAGCTGCAGTGGTGTCTTCAACTTCATTATTATTACTACGAAGTAATAACTCTCCATCACTGTAACCAGATACAGTCAGAAAGTGCAAAGACTAGGCACAAAACTGACAGAGTACTGACTATTCTGATTGTATTATAGTATCTGGTTACAGTGATGGAGAGTTAGTCTTAACTCGTATCCAGAGACCGTGTTTTGAAGGTCCCTTGGGCGGTCTTCTTAGAAAGGTTTCACTGTAACTAATACTTTAGAAGGACAGGAACATGATAACTGTAGTGTAGTGTATGTTAGTAGAACACTTTGTTTGCGGGATCCGTGCGTTGTGTGTATGTATGTGTGTGCTTTTTTCTTCTTCTTCAGTCATTTTTTTCTCTATTTTTCTCATCGTCTCACTATTATCCGCCAGGACACAGTTCTTTTTTCACGCAGGTGAGGCCCGCTAGGCACCTACTCCCGTACAATCTGCAACCTTTCCCTAGTCGCCCTGCACGCACCCCGTACTTACCCTTGTATCCACCTTTCGTTCCGTTGGCCTGGGTAGCTACTTGCGCGCCCATATTTGACATAGCTACCCAGGCCCTTTATCTTGCATTCTCTCTGGTTCGATCTCTCTCTCTCTCTCTCTCTCTCTCTCGATCTCTCTTCCATAATGTAGTCGTTCGTCTTTGTCTCTGTCTCTTCGTCTCACATAATAAATGTCGTTCCACCTACCCGTGCCCGTTGTGTGCGGGAGGGTAAGAGCTTTTTGTTACTCAACACAGTACTTCAAGGAATAAGAGTCAGAAAGTGCGATAACAGGGCACAACACTGACTGGCTACTGAGACATTTTCCAGGTGATTTCTTCTACATGTATATTAATCACATTAACTGGCTCAGTATGCGAGTTAAATAATACCGTAATGTGAATCAGTGATACCATTGTTCTCAAGCCCTGCCAGTGGTCACACAGGATAATATGTCTGGAGAGGTTGGGGTGGTGGCACCGCCTATTATAGTTCTGAGCAATAATACACGGTGTTGTGATCGAAGCTGGGAATTGGATCCGTACTGCAAGAGTGGTGAGTCATACTGCTTGACTCTGTGTTATCCACCGACTGTTGCCTGGCACTCGGCGTAGTGCTACTGGCTGAACAAATCTTCACCTGCTCAGGACAACTGTGCCCACCATGGTACATCACGATTCTGCTTGCCGTTCTCAAGGGTAACAACTGCTTTGATGCATTGTTTACCTGGCAATGCTGACACGGTTGCCTATGAGCGCACTGTTGCAGTGCAGGGTGAGCTTCCTGAAGCACTGGCTCTGCTGCAACCATGTTCAACAGCATGTCTTGAGAGTTCTGTCCACTCTGCACACGCGTATTGGCATCAGGTTTGTGTGTTTCAAACAGCACAGATATCGGGCTGCCTCTTCGGCCGCGAGCGGAGAACTGAGAGGTCGCTGGTAAGGTCGTCCAAGAGGATGGTGATGAGTTGTTTGAACTATATTTAGCCTTCTCAGGCTTGTTTGTTGAGCGAGTCTCGGAAATGTCCGACAAATGAGTGCCGCCAGGTATATCCACGGATGCATCTGAGGCTGAAACACACTTTATACCAGAGCAGAGACCAAATAACCGATGCCTAGTGGGAGAAGGCTCAACAGTTTCCGACACTGCTTTCCTGCTGCTGGCACTTTTTCTACTGCGGCTTGACAGCTGGCGCGACATGGTCAGCGATGAAAGTCGGCTGGATGAACTCATAACTTCTACCCAACCCCTGCGCACATCCTTCGCTCGTATGGTGTGGATGAAGATGGCCAGACCTTGCAGGGTGTTGAGAACGGTGAAGATGTACTGCAACACTGTGTTCTGCGTGACAAGCATCACGAACCCAATCACCCACGTCAGACCCAGCAGCACCGACAGCGACACCGCGACGCGCAGCAGGTACGCAAAGCTGCTGCTGCCACCACCGTTCCTCGCCCTGGCGATGCTGCCCTTTCCTCGCCGGAGAGAGCGCATGACCACCGTCAAGACTACGGCGTTGTACAACAGCAAGGCAGCCACGGGACCGATGAACGTTCCGTAGAACACCGCTCTTTGGTTGATCCAGCAGCTACACGAGAACAGCATACGATCAAAGATGATGCCCAAGTGGGCCCTCAACATACATGGATACAGGGTTCTAGCCAGGAAAAATAGTGGGGTTAGGGGGGGGGGGGGGACATGGGAAACAGTTACCCGCTATCCCATTTTTCCACTGCCTTGCCACGCTAAATGCAACATATGTGGCGAATCCCCGACTTCACCCCAAACAAATGTGCCTTTATGAACCATCTAATACCGTAAATAGGTACCTGCCCAAAAGAAATACCCCCTTCATTCTTTTGGCTCTGTCAGTTGAAGTCAAGTCAAGCCCGATAAACATACTGCCCGAAATAAGTACCGGTACGGTGCGCACATGCAGCACGTAGCATGTACATCTACATAAAAGTGACTTCTCCACTACACACACGTCAGGTCCGAAAGTTAGTTCGTGCCCAAAAGTCAGTACCTGCCCGAAAGTTAGTACGGGTGTGGTCACTAAATTCAAAAGTAAATACGTACTTATTTACGAACTTTTACGGTAGTGACTTTGGGCTGCATTTTCGTTGAATTGCATGAAAAACACGAAAATCGGAAAATGAGTAGGGGGCGGCACTTTTTCACAGGGGGGGGGGGGGGGGCGTTCAAACAGAGTAGGGGGCGCTGCTCCCCCCCCCCCCCCTCTCTTTGGCTAGAACCCTGGGATACCTGCCTATGCCTCGCAGCAGGTACAGTGTCTAAACCTTTGAAGCATAATCATTGCCAATCGGCACTGAGAAATGAAGTCAACCATTCTTAGTCATGCACAGATGAACTTGGGTCTACCATTGTGAAATTGGGAAAACAAGGATAGCTACAAATGTATTGAAACAAGAATAAAATCCCTCGTGACTGCAAAGAGGAAAAGCCAGGAGCATGTGGCACTATGTGTAGAAGACCCTCCATCAAAAACTGCCGATCAACTGCGGACAGCTGCAGAATAATGAATACAGAATCATTCCGTCGAAACTGTTCTGAATGAATTGACAACTGGACTCTGGAACCAAGGTGTGTCTGGGTTGCTAGCACCCAACCTGCTACTATTGGTTCTTAAAATTGATGTGCAGTGGCAGTGTGGCCTATGTTCTGAAAAAAGCCCGGAGGATGAGATTTGCTCAGCACTGTCGGAATGAAGTTGCCGTTCTCATCCTGCTACAAATTTCTGAAATAAAATGTCTAGACAAGACGGTGGGTCACGGCATGGCAGGAAAATCCGTCCTCTTCCAAGCAGGACTTGAACCTGTAACACCTCGTTTCTCAACCATGGTGTCAAACCAACCCACCGTGTCTGCCTGCACCCTTGATAGGGCCGAGGAATAAAGAACTTTATAAAAAATAATAAAGACCAAGGAACTACAAGTTACGCTACAATTTCCACTAACACAACCAATTACTAAACAATCAGCTCATGCGATAACATTGCAAGTTATAGCGTAACGTGTAGTTCCTTGGTCCTTTCTATTTTTTACAAAATTAATCCTTGGCTCTCCATCCGAGTCCAATAAAGAACTTACTATCGAAAGCCATTTTTGCTCCCATAAACATCAGCCTTTGTAGAACCTGCTGTTGCCACCACTACCATGAATGGTATCCCTGTGGATGGAGAGAATGGGAAATGGATACAAAAAATATTAGAGGACACAGGAAAATAGACAGATAGGCACGCGCAAAGACAGACCCTCAACTTAACAAGCATGTGGATAGACAGGCTGGATGAACAAGAATTCAAAATGCAAGTGAAGTCCAAGAAAATGGAAAGAGAGAGAGAGAGAGAGAAAAAGAGTTTGTCAGTTTTCATCATAAATCCTGAACCAATTTCTCACTTCTTTCAGAAAATTAAACACGGCAGGTGACTGTCAAATGTCATTCCAGATTCCTAAATCTAAAATCTTATTTTTCGGTATCCACTTTCTCAAAGAGACTGGAGCTGGCAAATATGGCGCAGGTCAACGGTTAATTAAGGAAAGCTTACCTAAAGCAATCAGAAGAGAGCGTCTCAACGTGGAAAGTTCTTTCTTGATGGACATCACCTTGACAACCTGCTGATAGAGGTGCGTTGCATCCGCGGCCGTGAACAGGAATGCGGAGAGCAGGCAGTAATGCACGGCCATTGCAATGCCAGTACAGACGTTTGCCGAGGCCGTTGCCTTGATTCCCGCAATGAACAGAACGAGGACGAGCAGCAGTGAGATGCACAGGCCAAAAATAATCTGCTGGTGAACTTTCGTACGTAGCTTTCTGCATGGAACAAGAGAATTGTATGGAAACGCAAGTATTTCCCATATATTGTCTCTGCTATTTTATAGGGCTTATGCAATCCTTTCAACGTACAATGAAACCTGAAAAGACCACCGTGACTGGCGACCAGCCTGGTACTACCGGCCATTTCACCAGGCACGGACGGTCTCACATTCAAAATGCACTGTGACTAGCAGCTACCTGCTGAACGCGACCAGCGACCGCCTTTTCTTGTCCCAAAGACGATTTTTGACCCGTAAACTAACGACCACGATGTAGGAAATCAAAATGTTGCTCGAAGCTCCTTCTTGAAATTTTGCTGATTTTCCATGGTCCTGAAAGGACTCTTTCGATACTACAGCTGAACAAATGATCGCAGGCCATTTTGACTGTGGGGTCGGTGTGGACTACACCTGTCAAAATTTCAAGCGCTGTCAAGAATAAACATAATAGGAAGCGTCTTCGAGAGCACATCGAAAGCGCTCTCTGATCGATGTTACTACTGTATTCGGAGGAGAAACGAAGACTGAGCGGCTCGGTCACCCCAGTCATACAGAAGAATTGAGCATGGCATCAGGGAACCCAGGAACGAAGCAGCATCGCAAGGCCCCGATGATGAAGGATCGCGTTAAAGCAATCGATAAGTCACAACAAGGACAGTCGGTACGATTGATCGCATGAACGAATTTGAAGCCCAGCGCAGAACGGAACTTCCACAGAGAACATTTGACTCCTGGCTTCAGACGTAGCAGCTGAATTTGATGTCTGTAAAAAAATAATCTTCTCTCTCTGTCTCTCTCCGTCTCTCCGTCTCTCTCTCAAAGTGTTATTTGACCTGAATAAGAATTGCATTGCGCAACTCGTGGGGAATTGTATTAGCTGCATTTTGACATACATATCATATAATGGGATCCATAATATGGTCGCGCGGTGCAAACCTCTAACTAAAGACCACCTGCCACAAAAGACCGCTTTTGCTGGCACCAAGGGGTGGTCGGTAGTTACAGTTTTTTTTTTACTGCACATGCTTTCCTCGCCTTTCTAGGTGGTCCGGAGGGGGGCATAACTTTGAAAAAATAAATGCCTCTCTGAATGGCATAATATGTTATGTTTGATGGTGAAAGGCCAGAGGTACTTCAAATGACCTCACCACTTCCACGATGCATACAAAGAGTAGTACTATTTCCACATAAGCTAACTTAGCCCAAAGGAAGCGAACTGCTTGTAACACTGGTGTCTGCATATCTGGGGTAACTAGGGCTGCAACGGGTAGGGGTTTGGTCGGGTAACGGGTTCGGGTATTTTTTATCCGGGTAGCATGGGCATCCCATCGGGTATTTGTTGACACAGTTTGTACTGCGAGTGTGCACTTACGCTACATAGGGAGCGTACAGTAAGCACGTAGCCGTGTTGTTTACATGCACTGTTGCAAAAACACTGTACTCCAACTACCCGATCGGGTTCTCAGGAGCAAATTGCTACCCTACTACCCGACCAAATCACGGGTAGCACGGGTACCCTACTACTCGTTGTCACCCCTAGGAGTAACCATTTACAGCGCATGCCTCTCAAGTGCTTACTTCAGTGCCAGTATGGTGATCAAGGTAGCAATGATTCCTGGCATGGACAGGCCGCATCCGATGAAGGCTACGTACAGCAAGATCTTCTCTGATTCGCTAGCTGGAAGATAGCCAACAATTGTGTCCTGTTAACCAACGGATATGGGATAATCATGGAGAACGAAATCCAGAATCAGTGAAAGTCCTACAATCCTCCACGATGTGAGCAGTGGAAGTCTCTTTTGAAAATCAAGGACCAGGCTCTACCTTTATATTACTAGTGCTCTTACGCATATAATAATTATTACTCAATCTGCGGACAGAACTTTTTCGTCCGTTGTGGACTCATCAGCACAGCACAGAGAAAATGAAGCCGAACCTGATAGCAATGAAAAATAAATTTTCCAAAGCCAGATTTAGACCAGGCCCGAGCGCACCTTGCCACTGAGGGTGCTCAAACTGACAAGCCAGTGAGCTCAGTGAATATTATATTGTTCTCCATGGCTAGGTATCATTGTTGAGACGTATTTCCCTGATGAAGGTCTGTTATTTATTCCTGCATTTTGTTGTTGCAATGTGCAATGTCCACCTCTCTAATTCTACTTACTGCTATGACTAAGATTTGAGAGAATTCCCCAAACTCTTGGCATCAAGGCACACATGCAGATATTCAAACTTCTTCGTAGTAGAATGAAAATGGGAGCAGGCTACTAGCCACAAGCACACACCGCAACTCGAGCTCAACTCTACACGATCTCCAGCCAAAGAGTGCCATTTTTTGAAAAGAACATAATGGAAGATACACAAACAACGGAGGCGAAAGGTAGCTGAAACATCAAGTTTCACACATTTCACCGATCGCCAGACAGCGAGATTCACTGTTGATGTTCCAGCCACTTAACCCTTTACCGGCAATTTTGTATATGAAATCCATAACATTGAGAAGGATGCCAATAACTCACAACGAGGGCACATTTTGTGTGTGCAAGTTATGTTTTCTTGGAAGTCTGGTACTACTTCTTGACGATGGAAAAAATTATTTTCACATACCACACACATACGCTACTAAATTGGCACCTATACGTCTATACACGGAAATTGTACACAATGCAAATCGTCAGATTCCGACATTGACATGAAACTGCCAAAACAAGTCGACTTCAGAGCGGAAACGAACGCCATAGCCATCACAGACTTCAGTGGCCGTGCCTCGCTCGCAATTGAGAGCAGCATCGCCCCAAAATCGCTGTCCGATGGCTCCGTAAGGTCGTGCGCAAGTCGCGCAGCGCTGCCGTCACTCAGGTACGTAGAAAGTCGATGGCCTAAAATTCCGTCTCTGGAAGACTGTCGACACGGGGATCACTCTCCATGGCTTCCACACCATAAGCACCATCAGATTCTTCCAGGTACATTACGACGACATCGTCTTCAGCGGCTGGAGCTCCCGATATTTGCGTGAGAATTTACTTTGCGTGCGCTCCGCTCCGCAATTTGAAATTCGCTTGCATCGGCGGCTGGAACGAAGTATTTATCTATCTGTCGTGGGTCCCAGAGCGAAGGTCTGCTAGGTCCTCGTCGGAGAAGTCATCTGAGGACGAAAGGAACTCACTGCGCAAGAGGAAATGCACCTGACGACAATTTGACGGAGGCAGACGGCATTGTCGGCGCGCGTGTATTTCCGTAAATTTTCGATCGCGCAGTTCTCAATGAAATCAAATGGGACACGCGTAGATCTCTTCAGCTACGGATAGGATCATACCTTGGCTGTGTGAGGGCCACGGGAAATCCCCGTGGGCTGATGCTTCCTGTCATACCAGGCATGGTTTTAGTATGCATGTCGAATGCGTCGTTTACGACGCATTCAAGTATGGGGTTGCCGGTAAAGGGTTAACCTTTCACCTCCGTTGTTTGTGTATATTGCCCTGCACATGTGTGCATCATGCATTCCGCTTGGAGCTGCCTCTACCGGCCTTGTTTGAACACTATGAAACTTGAGAGAGGTAGTCATTTTTTTTACAGAGGTTTGTAGGAAAATAACATAATTTTACCTGGAAATAGGCATTGATAGGAACAGTGTCAAGTGGCACGCATTCCGAGTTGTCCACATTGCCCCAGAACAGGAAGGATGTCTCGAACAGCTCGCATCTTCTCGATGCAACGGCGGTCCCATTCGTACTATCGTTGCTGCACGGGACATATGCCAGTTCCCTGTGACGAGTTTCAGGCCAGTACCGTCCATCCGAAAATTCATCACCAGTACAAGAACAACGTGCTATATTCGAGTGCACAACACACATGACAAACAACCAGGCGATAAATTAACACTGATATTATTCTAACGCCAATCGAGACAAACTCGCTTGCCGTATTTTTCCTGTTACAAGTCGATCTTTCATGACTCAAAACTGAATTAATGAGAAAGGGGTGGTCAAAGTACAGACAGGGCTTAACCACTATTAAATCATATTCAATTTTGATATTGAACTGGAAAATCGAGGTCCCATGTACAGTAAAACCTGGTTTAAGAGACCACCTCACAGTGCAAGAGAAAGCGGTCATTAAAGCCAGGTGGTCTTTAGAACCAGGTCCCACAGTGTCTGTGTATAACTGTCCGTGCATGGAAAAACGGTCGTTAAGAGCAGGTGGTCGCTAAACCCAGAGGTCGCTTACAGCAGGTTTTACTGTATTGGGGCTTGACTTATAACCGAGGCTGACTTATGAACGGAAACCATGGTGTTGTGTTCGCCTGCAGCCACGCAGCAGTCCATTGCGGGACAAAACAAATACTGATCTATTTACAACGAGCATGCGTATAATTGATGAGAGTGAGAGACAATACGGAGAGGGACAATACGGCGACCAACACTATACACAACACATGGTACCATTACAGTACCCAGGTGTTTCACAAAACACGTAGACACCAATTTAGCCAAACTACTATTATCCCTGCATCCTTACATCACGCTCTCAGTCAACAGTCTCCAGGCTATGCCAAATAATCAAGACATAAATGAAATATTCGAATTTTCAGGCAAGAACCATTTTCCAGTGTAGCCTAGAGACCGTCAACAGAGGGTATTGTGAAGATGTTGGAAAACCGGCCATTCTAAAACAGTGAAGCATGTTAAGTTTCAGTGGAGAATGTTGCGAGAAAGTGTGGGAGACTTGTTGATGGTCATTACAAAACTTCCAAAGTGAAACTTGTCGGGAACTGTGGTGACCTTGCACAAGGGCAATATCCTCAGATAGCTGCATTGCTTCAAATAAACTATTGAAAATGTTTATGAACTACCACACCACAAATGTGCTCTCCGACCGACCTTGAAACGTTGCCACAACACACCATCAGCGAGCAAGTTGAGGTGCGGTGGTTGACGAAACATCAGCACAGTGCCAAATGCTGCTGCTAACCCATCAGTATAAACTCTTGTAAAAACCAGTTTAAAAGCAGACATTAATAAAAGTAAAGGGAGCGCACTCATACAACGAGAACAATGGGCAAAATATTAATTTTTATGATTTGAACTTCGTTCTCATGTGAGAATCATCAAAAATCGTCATCACACTGAGAGTTGGACAACAAAGACGTTTTAACGACGTTCAAATCACAAATATTGTTCCCCATTTTTCTCGTGGTATGAGTGCACTCACTTTACTTTCATCGATATTAGGTTTATTGTTTCCATGCCGACCTTTTTAAAGCAGATGCGCAACGTTCTATTTGAATGGACGTGTGAGGAAACATTAAGTCCTATCAAATGAAATAACCAATGCACCTGTGAGTGAACACTTACGAATCATGGTAACAGCAACATTGAGAAGGGTAAGAGGCGACATCGGTGGAGATTCTTTGCGGCGTGCCCACATGCGACTCTTGACAAGCTGAGAAAGGTCCATACCTGGCAGCAGTGTGTTCCTGTCCAACACAGCACTTGATATGTTCACAAACACCCGTATGCTGATTTCCGTGTCGTTTCTGAAGGTTTCACAGGAAGGAAAAAAACGAAAAAAAGAAAACAACAATGGGGACGCCCTTTTAAAATTGGCTTCCCTGGATGCTGTGTTTGGCCTGGTCACCATTATTCTTCAGTACAGTAAAACCTGTAACTAAAGACCACCGTGACTAGCGACCAGCCTGGTACTACAGACCACTTTGCCAGGCATGGACGGTCTCACATTTATATATGGTTGTGCGGTGCAAACCTCTAACTAAGGACCACCTGCCACTAAAGACCGCTTTGTCTGGCCCCCAAGGGGTGGTCGTTTGTCACAGGTTCTTCTGCATATCACTATGGCAGCGCTTGTCTTCACTTCCGAGTTGCACTGCTCTGCATTTTGGCTTCTGTAGCCTTTCGGCCTGCATTCCGCCACTGTGCGTGTATAGTCATATTGCATGTCTGAATGTCATACAACCATAATTCACTTGCTCTTCGAAGTACAGTAAAGCCGGTCCACATGTCGATTCAGCTCCTCCGCTTTTCATCGCGATTATAGAACCACACGTTACTCAATCTGCGGACAGAACTGTTTCGTTCTTTGTGGACTCATCAGCGCAGCACAGAGGACTGAATGAGGCCGAACCTGATAGCAATGAAAACAAATTACGTTATATTGATGAATGACGATGCAGATCACTCAACATTTTGTTGTGAACGTGTTGTCTGCAGTGCCTGTGATATCCACAAAGACAAGTCAAACTAAACAACCATGGGTTCATACGCAGAACCATGGTGGGTGAAACTGGCCCTCAACTGTCATTACAAACCTTCAACGTTTAGAGCAGGCAATAGAGCCAAGTAAGATATAAAACTCATACATGTCGAGGTTACAATTCCTACATGCCAGCTGCCCCAGTCCACCAGTCCCAGTGCATGTATTACAACATTGTCTGCATAATGTGAATATACTTACCCAGATCCTAAATGTGTCTCATTGCTATCCCTTTCCTCAGCAAAGAACGCTTCTGGCAGCATATGCCTTAGCTGTGAGCCAGATACAGATAGAAAAGACTCCACAATATGGAATAGTTTGTTCAAGACTCCCATGCAGCATCACAAATAGTGCCAGTAGAGTAGTGGTGATAAAACTGACCTGGCGAAAAGGCGGTACATACATACATACATACATACTGCTGTGAATTCCAGCAGAAATCCAAGAGAGCTCGATACCGGGAAGGTAGAGCCGTGACACACTAGTCAGAACAACAGATGGCTTGATCAGTGACTGATCAAGCCATCTGTTGTTCTGACTAGTACATACATACATACATACAGTGGTCCCTCTATAATCCGGCACCATTTGTGCCACGAAAATCTGCTGGATTAGGGAGGGTGCTGGATTAACAAATCTGATTTACTGCTGCAATGTGCATGAAGAGGACATTTTGGCTACTGAAAATTGTGCTGGTTTATCGAGGGTGCTGGATTATAAAGTGCCGGATTAGAGAGGGACGACTGTACATACATACATACATACATACATACATACATACATACATACATACATATGGCTTAGGGACCTTCAGCATTGGGTACATACATACATACATACATACATACATACATGCATACATACATACATACATACATACATACAGACATACAGACATACAGACATACAGACATACAGACATACAGACATACAGACATACAGACATACATACATACATACATACATACAAACATACATACATACAGACAGACAGACAGACATACATACATACATACATACATACAGACATACATACCTGCCCGTGCAACGACTAAGTGCCTTCTAAACTGTAATGTCAGTCCCGACAAAGAGCATTCCCTCCCTACCGTCGACACCATCAGTCTGTGCATAGTACGTCACTTTGCAGCTTAGATGAAGCGTTGTGTGCGTGAGTTTTCTGTAAAGATCACTACTCTTCAACAATTTTTTTGTGAAAAAAGTGTCGTCACATGCCAGATTTCTGGTCTTCCTCATTGAAATGTCTGTGATTCCGAGTTACGGACATTTCAAAGTCATGGGTAGTGCTCAGTCTCGGACCGGCCAGAGAAGAGAGACGCGAATGTATGGCAACGATCTAGTCGCTATTGTGGTATTCACTCACCTCCATTTCAGCCATAGCAAATATGTCCTCGGGAATTTCCGTACTTGGAAACCCAAACACAGCCATAATATGAAAGTCAAGTGGGGCTAGTCAAGATTGACAACAAACAAGACAAGAAAAAAAGGGACAACGGAACAGAACGAAGCACAACGACATGAAACATGTACAGTGAAACCTGTCTAAGACGACCGCTCAAAGGACCTTCAAAATGTGGTCTCTGTTACCAGGTGGTCTCCTTATCCAGTGTCATTTGACTGGAAATTGCATTCCTTGGTCCTGGTTTCAGTGGTCTTCTAGGACAGGTGGTCGCCTTATCCGAGTGGCCGTCTTGACAGGTTTTACTGTGGTTCTTCCATTGAAATCAAGAGTAAAAGAATTCGAGAGCTCATTTACTCTTCTCGGCAAGTGTTCAATATCCAAATTTCCACTACTCAGACCATGCTCAATACCCGCACTTCCACTGTTCACAAAGTGCGTGCCCACCCGCAATTTAACTGCTCACATAGCGCTCAATTTCTCACCATTCAATTTCAGGTCGACTACTGCCGTTGTGTCCATGGTGGGATAGGGGATGCTTGAAACACGACACGTTAAGGTGGCCCTCTGAGCTTTACGGCACCCCGCCCGGAAAACAGCGTAACTTTGTTTACAATGCATATAATTGGTTCAAATTTTCAACACTAATTCCTGAGATCCCATAGTCTGATCTTCACCAGGAAAAATGGACCTCTTCACAAGCACTGTCGGTGTGGATGTGAATTTACGAAAATTGCCGTATATAGAACTCGTAACCAGCACTCAGAAATACCAATGTTTTTATCACGACATTTTTCACATGGAGTACATTCTTTACATCCAACTTCAGGTGCTAAAACAACAATATACAAAGAAAACCTCAGAAAAGGTTTCCAATATCGAAAACACAAAACCATAGTCCAAATGCGCAAAAGAACGACACATGTTGGAGATGCTCTTTACAGCCTATACTACCTGAGAACAGGCCACATTGAGTTTTAGCACCTAGCCAAAGGTCCACGGATTCAGAAAATATATACTTTTGGGGGTGTAGAAGCAACAACTGAAGCCACAGCCTGGTTACAAGGTCCGGCAATGGCTGAAAAAGAGAGAAAATTGGGTACCAAAATTTGATTTATGTAAATGTGTTTTACAGGGTAAATAGTGGTGTGAGAACGGTATGATCTTATTTGGATAGGTATGTCTGTCTGTGTGTTTGCCTCCCTCTGTGTGTGTGTGTGTGTGTGTGTGTGTGTGTGTGCGTTTGTGTGTATGTCTGTATGAAATTTTTAAACCAACTTGCAATTATTGGAATTTACTATTATTATTTCGAAATTTCACATGTATTCACCTATGTTCAGGCGGCTATATCTCCGGAACGGCTTTGAATATCGCCCTCAAATTTTTTTGTGTGTTCTTGGATGATATAGGAAGGATTTGACTGCACTTTGGGAGCAATCCAAGAAGGTCGGGTTTTTGACCCCCAAAGCTCAGAGGGCCACCTTAATCTGCCATTGTCCCTCTGGTAACTCACTGACAGAATGCGCAGAACTCCTCCTGCACAGTTGCACAATTGAGTGAACAACACACTTTGAAGTACAGTAGGTATCGGTTATAGCGTGGGTGTTTGAAAAACGACATTTGATTCTTATTGCCGATATTTCTTACACACGATAAATCACGTGTGACATATCATATGCGCGCACGTTTGGCATGTGGACACGTACACATGATACACGGATCAATCAGACTCGCGGTCGTGCTAGGCGACTGCGGAGCAGCGGATACGAAAGAAGTCGAAAGAAAGAGTCCGACTGGACAGAAAAAGTGATTCTCCAATGCTCCCTTGGACATAACTCTCTTTTTGTGTTGAATTATTGTATTGAGTATGCACAGAGCACAGATGTTATTACTACAGGCGATACACTTTGCGCTAATCTGGCATATTTTGCTACACAAAATCCGTTCTTAGGGCCGATATATTCTACTATGCGATAATACTGCTTGTAAGAACAAATATACACATAAAATATGTGTTATGATTATGAAAAAATGAGTGTTCATTCTTGTAAGCAGTATATTCTTGTATACGACCACGCTATAACCGATACGCACTGTAGTAGTACCTAGGTGAATGTGGTTCATGATCGGCATGTGCGAACTTCATCTACTTCACCAGCATGCATCGTCACATCCTGACGCTAAACTTTATGTTCAGAACGGTAGACGTTTCAAGTTCCACCCTTGGTGCCTACTTATGTAGGACAGCAAACTAAACACAGCACTAGCCAAGTCGTTCGTCCCTCTTGATATTTGTACTTTGTACTGTTGAGGGAACGAACTGAAATAATAAAAACGAAGTCCGGCTCTATCAACTTTGTGAAAAATCAGGAGGTCATTGTAGGCCAGTCGGGCAAGAAATGGAGGGACAAGAAGAGCAGATAATAAGTGTCTTGGAAATTAAGCCATAAATATTGTATGAAACTTGATGAAGAAAATGCCTACGCTGACAAAACCATTCCCACAGCACTACACACCTGAGTAACGAGATGACTTCACCCTAAAAAAATGGTTTAATCATAATGGTGGTAAATACACTTCTTCCCACTCATACTCTCAAAGCAGCAGTTACACACAGAGTTCTCGTTATCCCCATGTGCAAACTGATAACGGTGGTGTATTAACTGCTACCATTGCCAGGTGTGTCTTCACTACCATTATGATTAAACCATATGTACAGCTGCAGTGGTGTCTTCAATTACATTGACCCCCAAAAAAGCAGGAAATAGAAACATAGTTGAGCAGTCCTTTACCTTCAACATGAATGGCTGATGGGATAGGGTCAATCACTGCTCCATGCTTGTCAAGCCATTCATACTTGACTGGCTGATCAGTAGTTGAGCTGCAATTCAACTCAACGGCTGAGCCTTCGTCCACCATGATAGCACTCGTGTTTAGCCCCTCGTACTCGATTACTGGTGCCTCCATGTGTTCTGTGGAGAAATGTGCAGTGAAGAATGATACCTGTCTATACCATACATAGGTACAATACTCACACAGCAATAACAAAACCAAGTCCTTAATACACGAGTACATAATTGTATTAACACGACTGTTAGCACACGAAGAGATGAAGCCAGTTGTGAACCCGGTGAGGCCTTTTGTACCATTGTGTCTCGAATCAGTATATAATATGGCTTTATCAGGTTCACAAATGGCTTCGTCTGTTTGTGTGCTAATATGTTTCCCTCCAACTAAGTCCTTATTGATATGACTGTATTCATATTTCGAAGTGTTTGCCCATTGCCAGAAATCGGTCAAGTTGGTGGCGCTCCGGGAGACATCCAAGAGGAATCTTGTCAGCATGATCCTACAGGTCTATTGCGCAATGATGTAGTTTGTGCGGCGAACACCGCACACAACCACCTGGCTATGGTCATACATGCATGTGGTGTTGAACAGTGCCTTGCTCATCCCAGCATACCCGCATCCATTAAACCTGATTCATACTTTTCATTTCGCGTACAGGAAACGCGTTGCGTTGCGAAAAGTTGATCTGAGCTCAACTATTTCTCGTATGGGAAAGTCGTCGCGCGACGGTCGCACGATGACTTTCCCACGGCGTCGCACGATGACTTTCCCGTACGCAAAATGGAGTATGAATAAGCCCTTAATCACACATTGAAATTCGCTTTTAGGCTGATCAAATCACAGAAAGTCGATAACGAGAAGCTTCAGATAATCGAATAGCATAAGCAGGGCGATAGTACTTGGAATCTGACTGCAGTTACAGGTACTCCACGCTACGTCAGAGAGGATTTGATTGACTTCCCTAGCACCGCTGAGCGCCAGACACTGCCCATTGTTCAACGGGAGTGTATACTGCAAACTAGACAAGAGCGGCGGGCACAAGGTACACGTTCAAGTAACCAAGATTTTTTTGGGATTGAAAGCGAACGAGTTTTTTCAGCAAAGAGATAACCCCATCCTTGTGATTGTACATGTACAGGGTTAATTAAAGTAATCTGCAGCTCAGCAAATGTTGTGTGCATGATGATCGAGGCTCTCACACCGCAGACAGGACAAGACTGTGTTGATGGCTATGGTGAAGCTACTCTACTTTCGGGAAAAGGTGCCGGTCTTTTATTGATGCCTGTCTGAGATGAGCGCCATATCATTTCAGGACTTTGGTGTGTGTGGATTCTTTCAAAGCGGGTGAAATGTTTAGGGCTCGCAAACCACTAAGCGTCTCGGTCAGTATTGCCGAAAGTACGGTATGCGAGTTCTGAAAGGCTGAACAATCAGCTGCAATACACACACATACAAGATGAAAGCACATTGCCCGATGAATTACCTATACAGTGAGCACTATTGTAGGCCTGTCCCTGACCACACTCGCACGTATACGATCCAATGTTGTTGGTGCAGTTGATGCTCGGTGGGCATGGGTAGTCAATAGCATCCGATGTGCATTCATCCACGTCTGTACATGGCTGCCCTGTATGAACATGTGCATGCACATACAAATTACGACATAGCTTTCAAATCACAGTGCTCTTCATTAGTTTCAAATTCAAATGTATGATACATGCACAACAGAAAAGAAAACTCAAACTCATCGTTTCATAATCATTGTCAACCGTAGCTTTCAGCAGACGTAGGTAGGCGTGCATGCGTGCATGCAAGCACACACTAACACACATACACACACACACACACACACACACTCACAAATGAACACAAACACACAAACACACACACACACACAAACACGCACACATGCACACATGCGCACACACACACACACACACACACACACACACACACACACACACACACACACATACACACACACATACACACACACACACACAAACACACAAACACACACACACACACACACACACACAAACACGCACACATGCACACATGCGCACACACACACACACACACACACACACGCACACACACACGCACACACAAACACACACACACACACACACAAACACGCACACACGCACACATGCGCACACACACACACACACACACACACACACACACACACACACTCGCACACGCATGCACACACACACACACACACACACAAATGAACACACACACACACACACACACACACACACACACACACACTACTGTAGCTGGAAAATTGTTGGTTTGTACAAACCTGCAAGTACATGTATCTACTACCAACATACAAAGATGGTCATCAGCATGCATGGTCACGTTCATGATCAGTCGGGGAATTAATATTGGCACCGGTCAAGTAACATCTCAAACCCTTGCATGAATGTGCCGCTTCAAGAATGTCTCCATCTCGCCACCAACAAGCAACTCTGGTTAACGATCATCGACTGATGCATGACCACCGTATGATTTGTTCATGCGGGCAATATTCAAACAGTTTATTTCTAACACTGACCTGAAAACCCAGTTTCACAACGACAGTGGTAACTGCCATCTGCTTCGATGCAGACTTCATTAGCACCGCACGTGTCTCTGCCACTGCACACCTCTGTGTGCAAGCAGAAGGGCAGTATGATCAGACCAAAGAATTCCGGTTGATGGAGTTCCCTGCCCGGTCCACACCTACACTCCTGAACTCCTTGCTGATTTGAACTGCACTGTACGTACGTTTCACGGTGCTCGGATGCTGAATCTGAAGAGCAAGTTGTTGAATCGTTGCACAGGCCCCTGACGTACACTTTACCAGGAGGGCAGCTGCAAGTAAATTTTGTCTCCGATTCGTGCTGAAAACACGCGACTGTTGCTTGGGGGTCGCAGATCCGCTTCACTGTCAGTACGTGTGTCCAGGTGAAAGAAAGAGAGGGGAAGATTTAGGAGTGAGTGAGAGAATGAGTGAGTGAGTGAGTGAGTGGGTGAGAGTGAGAGAGTGAGCGAGTGAATGAATGAGTTAGTGAGCGAGCGAGCGAGCAAGGCAGTGAGTGGGTGGGTAGATTTGTGAGTGACTCAATTCGTGTTAGACTAACTGTGCATCAAACAGCCGTTAAGTCAATAGTCCATATTGCAGACTGGGTAAACATCAAGGGAAGCTTTGTCATGCCTCAAATGAAAAACACCGCCACTTTTTTGGAAATTGTGCATGTACAAAATATTACTTGTACCGGCTGAAAAATTATAAGCACAGTCTCCAGTGTAAGTGCGGCGTCCAGTATAAGTGCGGGGTAGAGGTGTGTTGAAAATATACAAGCACAGTGCTTATACAGGTGGAATCCTGATAATTCGAACCTGCGAATGCCAGAAAAAAACTTCTAATTATCCGGATATTCTAATTATCCAAACATGACCCCACAGCACAATATGTATGTCAAAATGCTTCCATGGTCACGCAGAGTTGCGCTATGGACCTTAGACACAGATCTCACGGATACTGAACTGACAGGCACAGCCAGATCATGCAAACTGCACTGACCAGTACAGTGTACAGTGAACTTCGAATTACACCTTGCTAACTTCGAATTATCAGCACAAATCCCACACATTTTTCATGTAAGTGGAATCCGTGGAACTTCGAATTAACCGGACATGTCCGGTTCGAGGTTCGAATTATCAGAAAATTTTATGTGGGAATCGTATTGACAGAAATCGGTCCTGGAAGAACTTCTAATTAAGCGGTATGTTCGAATTAAGCCATATTCGAATTATCAGGATTCCACCTGTACTGGAGAATACTAGTATACGGTGATACGCAGCAGTGCAGTAGCATTTGTATGCAATGGATCTTCCCCTCATGCCAAACTCTACTCACTTGTTAGTATTGCCTGGGACGTTTCAGCATCAGCTAGAAGGCCACTGTCGATGACGCTCAGAAGTGGGCATGCACTTTGTCCGCGCAAGCTATTTCCCCTGACATCTCTGTGGGGACAACCGAAGCAGGAGAGGAAGGCCAGAACGAGGCGTATCATCCACTTCTTCAACTTTCCTAGGCAATTCCCAACATGATTTCAGGCTGACCGGCTATCTATATCACTTGCCAATACAGGGCGATCCGATCCGAGTTGCTTACGGACTGATCAGACTTCTTTATGAGCTGATCTGACTAGCTTACAATGAAGCAATGCCAGCTCCATCACATGCACTCTTTGGCCGACCTCATCACACCAGCAATATGACTCCAAATTGTAGACAAAGTAAAACCTGTGACTAAAGACCACCGTGCCTAGCGACCAGCTTGGTACAACAGACCACTTCCCCAGGCACGGCGGGTCTCACATTCATGTATGGTTGTGCGGTGCAAATCTCTCACTAAGGACCACCTGCCACTAAAGACCGCTTTCTCTGGTCCCAAGAGGTGGTCGTTAGTCACAGGTTGTACTGTACTGACAAAGAAAATGTCCAGAGAGCCAGAGAGGGCATGTGGTGGAGGTAGACTTGCTTCATTGATAAACAGGCCGAGCACCGCTGCTTACCCTTTGAGAACAACGACTTGCTTTCAGTGTCATCTACCTAGCTGACAGGCTGACCCGACTTTCCTAAAGACTGATCTGAATTGCTTACACACTGATTTGTCACTTGCTTCAAGGCATAGTTACGCGGAGCTGTACAAAAATCCTGTCGTGCAACTGGAAAAAAATTCTTCACTAGTCTTTCTTGGCTGCGTCTCGGGGGACTTAGCAGAAAATTGTATTTCACCGACCTACTATTACCAGTTGTACATCACTACTCCCAAAAAAACGGTCTCTCGGCTACAAATTCTTCCAAAAATATTGAATTAAACATAATCCAAATTTTCGGACCAAGCCCATCTTCAGCTACTACTACCAAACATCGCTGTCTTCGGGTACTTCTGTCTGTGTCACACCCTTCTACCTCAATCTAGGTCCACCAATTTTGTACAGGTGTAATGAGTACTATACACAGCCCAAACAAATAGCCCTGGGGCATGGAAAATCTCCGTGTGCATATTAACTCCACGGGTGCAGTAAAACTTGCAACATGCTTTTACAGGACCCTATTTCAAGCGGAATCTTGTACTAAGCGGACAACTTTGCACGCACACAAGTGTTGTGGATCGAACGTGCATTCCTGGATCAAGCGGAATACTGTCACATCAGGAAAGTTTCTGCTGCACCATGGGAAACCGGTGAGGGTAGGTTTTTTTACTTCAATCTAGGTCCACCAGCTTCTACAGATGTAATGAAACTAGTCACAGCCGTAACAGATGTCCCTGAGGCATGGAGAAATCTTCATGTGCATAATAGTTCTACGAATAATGCGAAGAGTAAATTGTCAGTGCGTACCCTGGAGGTGAAATTCAAGACTGGTTTTCATTTTTCTTAAAGTGCAACTGCATGTGCAGAAAGTACGTAACTTACAGGTTTTTCAGGGAGTGGAGTTTCGAGAAAATGTTGGGAGGGAGGCTGGTCAGGTAATTATTCTGCAACTGCCTGTACACACAAGGTTGAGAAAGTGAGTGGCAAAATACGCACATCTTGACGTGAATATATTTTATTTATTTATTTATTTATTTATTTATTACAGCATCTCATAGCACAGTGCGAACACCGGCCAATACAAAGAGAGAGGGTGTTAGCTAACCACGGCAAGGAAGGGAGAAGGGGAGGAGAAGAAAAGAGGAAACGGCATGGATAAGCAGTGATTGCAACAAAATGAGAAACACAAAATCAAAGTCAAGGTGCGACAAGGCTCTTAAAAAAGGCGGAGGGAAGAAAGGTCCTTAGCTGCTTGGGGAAGTGCCAGCCACGCAGAGTACGCAGTGAAAAAGGGAGAGTGAAGTAGAAGGTCGGACTTAGGTTTCGGAAGGGAAAGGGAGTTTCTCGTGCCACGGGAAGAGAACCAGTTGAAACAGTGGAGATGAGGTGGACACAGATTGAGTTTGAGAGAATGGATAAGGGTGACAAGATGTGAATTACGTCTCTTAGACAAAGGGGTAGTGTCAGCAAGGGCATAAAGGGTGGAAGATGGGAGCATGTGGGGTTTTCGGAGGAGGATTTTGAGAACTTTTTTGTGGTGAATTTCGAGCTTGGCAGTAATGTATTGAAAAAACATAGCTTCGTTAGGATCCATATGACATGTACATCATACTACATGCCTTGTAACACCGGCCTCAGCATGGACCCGGAAATGGGGGTGCGACCTACAATCGAGTGTGACTTACAATCGGGGAAGTACGGTTATTTCACACAAAGTCTGTTTTTTTATGGACTCGGATGGAGAGCCAAGGATAAATTTATAAGAAAAAGAGGACCAAGAAACTACAAGTTACGCTATTTTTATTTTATTTATTTCACTCAACTCGGGTCGGGGTCCATGACCAATTGGCACGGAAAGTGCGAGAGAGGGGTGATAGCCAACCACGGCAAAAGAAACTTTAGAAGATGGTATGCTCGTGTGCACAGCCAGGAACGAGAACCTATCCGGTAACAGACTGACCCAACCAGTGCAGTATCTCGCGTACGAACAGACACTGACCAAACTAGTTGCACAAGCTGGACCATTCGACTTACAGCACTTCCAACTCCAGCAGAGCATCGAATATCCCGGGCGGCAACTCGTTGATGAGATTGTCATCCAGAAACCTGCAGGCAGCATGCAGAAACACTGAGCTCGACTACTGAACAGGACCGTGACTTACCACAGAACCCAGGGAACACAGTCAGTTGTACGCACACATTACTGTAAACACGGCAAAAACCTGTGACAAATGACCACCTCTTGGGGCCAGAGAAAGTGGTCATTTGTGGCAGGTGGCCCTTAGTTAGAGGTTTTACTGTACACCAAAATTCCGTCAGCTATCCAATTTCGGCCATATTCGGCACCGACCCAAAATGGCTAAATTATAGCGCTGATGAAATTTTTAACATCGGCTTTGGTGATATACTGGTATTAACCCGTTCCGAAAATGAATCGCTGCTGAAATGTCGAAAATCGTGAAATGCGGAAATTTTGCAGCGCCAAAACTTTGTATATTTTCAACTCGGATGGTGAGCCAATTAAATTATGGTGGACAGTTAGTCATAACTCGTAACATTTTGTCCTTCTCCTTTTTCACCTGTATAATTTCAGTATGAAAAAGTGAAACAAGTCACGTGTTGGGGCATCATCAGTAACTGTGATGGCAATAGCGTTGCTCTCCTTTCGCTCTGTCGATTTTGTTATTTCACATTCAACATATCTAGTGTGCACCAGGGAACATGCAAATTCCGGCTGAACTTGTTCACATGCACATTTTGTCACCTGTGTACATGTATTTGGGTGATGTGACGTGGAGATTGAAGCACAGAAACATTAAAATTATTCTGTGCACTGAGTGTGTGGAGCAAAGGTTCATTAAGTAGGGATATCAGCGAACGCACTGCGCAGCCCATCTGCGCAGGTCAGCCTGGCCCATCTACGCGCGGCCGACAAGAAAACTCATGAACACTTTCATTTTTTTGCAAAATAAATCGTGCGAAGAAGATGCACGGAATGGCTGAAAACTAGGCTGAGGAATAGTAGCATCCAGAGACTCTCAAACAAATTCATGGTCCATCGCTTCTGACAATGGCAGCGAAGACATCAGGGAGCTGATTGCAGCAACTCTCTACCAAGCGCGATGCTGGTTACTCACCAGGGCAGGGCGCTTCCATCGCGCAAGAAATGGCCGCGAGCGAGAAATGGAAGTCCGATTTTGGAACGATCCAACCAGGGAAATTCCTTGAAAATTGGCCTGAACACCTCTCATACTGGTGTTTCACGATGTGCAAACTTTCAGAGAAATCGACCGGGGAGAACGTGGTGAGTTCGTGGGTCCTCGAGTATCGCGTATGATTTGAATGGTCGCGGGGACAGAAGAACAGTAATTTTACGACTCCCAGCGGTGCAAACAGACCGCGGCCATGTTTTCTCTGTCGGCCGCGATCACGTTCAAAAAATCGATGACGCAATGCATGCGCAGAGGCCTGCGCAGTGCGTTCGCTGACATCCCTACATTAAGTCCTTTCCGTGCAAATATCCTACTGAAAACTGAAAATATCCCCCCCCCCCCCCATCACAGACATGCGCACACGAGAACCCCCCCCCCCCCCCTCCCCACACACACACTCTCTCTATCTATCTATCTCTCTTACAGTTCTTTGAGATCAGAGAAACCGTCGAATGTCTCCGGTGTGAGTTCAATCCTATTTCCTGACAGGTTCCTGTGGATGCAGTTAATCATAAAAAGCCACCAGAAACACACAAACACACAAACACACATACATTAACACAATCATGCGCACACACACACACACACACACGCGCGCACGTGCGAGCGCGTATCTGCCGCAGGGCATTCATTCGTCAGGGGAGCGGCGGAACTGGTGGGTCAGTTGGTCAGGCCATGGACCTCTTTGTCCGAAAGTACGAAGGATTGCTGTGTGGTCGGGTCAATATAAATACAGTGAACCCAGTCTTAGTTGACCGCTCAAGGGACCTTCAAGTCGTGGTCTCTGCTTACCAGGTGGTTTCCTTATCCAGGGTCGTCTGACTGGAAATAACACCCCTTGGTCTTGGCTTCCGTGGTCTTCTAGGACGGGTGGTCGCCTTATCCGAGTGGTCTCCTTGACAGGGTTTACTCTACTGCTTCCACTGGTCCTGTTCATACTGTTTATATCTACCAGGCGCGTGCGCCGGTGCCCTTCAAGGGGGGAGTTCCCGGGGGCGTCCCCCCCGGAAACATTTCCAAAAATGAAGCAAAGTCCTGCATTTTGAGAGAAAAAAGGGGGGTTCTGGGCACCCAGGAACCCATACGGGGCACGCGCCTGTCCACTAAACACACTGCACTCACAGGGTAGTGATATTGGACGCTGTGGCGATGGCCTGAGGAACGACACTGAGACTGCGATCTTGACAGTCGGCCACCTCATGCGTGCATATGCACGGGTTACAGTGCAGGAAACGCTGCTCAACTACTTCCCTACAACGGACGATGCAGAGCCCAGTCACGAGAAGTAGTGCAATGTAAAGCATCTGGAGAGCACAAGAAAAATAATGAGATTTAGAGAGTGCTGAGCCAAAGTGTACAATCATGTACCGATGTCCTTTGTTTCCTGTGGGTTTGTGACAAACATAAGTGCAACGTAATTGATTCACGGCATCCTGTACAATGTAGATGGGCACCTGATCTCGCCCGTGTCGTGTAGAACACCCGGGTCCTTGGGAGGGTGCAGGCATACGCCAAAAAGCAGTTTCTGTTCAAGAATCAAGACCTAATGAGAATAGCAGCCTGATGCTCAGCCCCCGTGAATTACTAGTATGGCCAGAATGAATGATACACGTTTGCATTGCAAGCGCATGATCTGCCTAGACTCTACTACTACTCACTGTCGGTTTGCGCTCCGGTTCCAGCCGCAACATCTGGCGGAACATCTTGCTTGATGAAAAGCAGGCAGGCGAGTTGCGCGTCGTGCGCTGATGGCGTGCTGCTCTGGGTGCCGGTGGGAGACACCGAATCAATGAGTTCCCTCAGGGCGCCAGGAATGGCCCCACTCTCGATGTCTGGTTATTTACTTGGCCGGTCGAAACGAACTCAATTATCAACGTCTCAAGTCTGGATTGTCTCTACAACCACGGTCCACCACGCTTCTTTGACAGCAGCGCTGGTGCTTGCAACTGTGCCCCGCTCGAAGTCCTGTTGTCAAATTTCGTGTCAAGTCGAACTAAACATCTTGGACAGCGCTATCCATAGCCTTCCTGCTGCAGGCTGGAGCGCAAGTCGACTCCTGAAAGATCTGTGCTCGTCCACCCAAGCTTTTAGACCTGCGGAGCGGTCGGAGACAATGCATGTTTTCCCCTATCAGGTCAGCAGCTAGCGTGGGGCTGTTTGTAAGGTAAATGCTACTAGTGAGTACTACCGGTACTAGTGCTAATCTCCGTTCGTTTGGCGGGAAGTGACGGTACCTACATTGTGTATGCTAACACTAAAAGGCTAAACTAACTGGATGAAGCGTTCCACACGTACACACTCGCTCCATTCACGTTCCTGTGATGAGCGGTGTGTCACAGATATACAAGATGTGACTGTATCTCGTCCAAGTACCTGTTCTGTGTTGTGTGAATGATCACGCCAGACACCTGTGTCCTAATTAATATTATTAATTTGTTCAACCATCGAGTGTAATGTAGTTCATGTACAATGTATATCCGCATGTACATGTACATGCGGATCGCCGTAACGTTGTGACAAGAATGCTTAGCTCTCGCTTACATTACTGGGTCACAGAATGCGCCAGCGTCTACAATCATGTACACGCACTTAGCATAATCAGGTATTGCTACAAATAACCCCTCGCCTCACTCATCTTCTGTGCTGCTCACATCTGCTTCAGAATGATGGCCAAGGGGGCTGCTTCTGCTGCTTGTTAGATCTGCGTATCAGTGACTGTGGTGCATGCCAACAAAAGCTCGTGCAAGCACAATGTACATTGAGGAATGCATGGGAATTAGGTGGAGAAGGTGTTATAGCCTTTGAGTATCTTGAAAATAAAGATTATTATTATACATGTACACGCACGTAACGGCAAAGCAGAGGTGCTACTGCGTGTCGCTCTGATGAGATTCCCAGCACGTAATCATGGCAATGTCCACCGCAACTCCAACCACAACTAGCGGAAACTGACATTTTCTGCGCCTGAGGCACTGAGAACTCGTCACTGACGAGGTGTTTGGCATACCACTCAAAAAACCATCATGGATGAACAGGAACCTACAGTCATCATGGTTATGATTGTACATGTTTGCACAGTGACTATGATCATAATGCGTCTGTACCGTGCAGGTGCGTGGTGCGCGCGTGCCACCTATTGCAAGTAACCGCTCTTGCTATGCTGGAAGCTCTCATCTCGCGAGCTCAATTACTTATTTCCAGTACCATACATACCCCGCCCCTTTCCTGAGCGTCTGTTGCAACATCACAGTGTTCATAGCTTGTTTTGTGTTTTTACATGTCTAGAGCATTGTACTGTACTTACACCGTACTTCAAAACGGGTTTATTCAAACAATACGACATTAATTTAAAAGAAGGAAGAAAACCCAAGAATCAAGGGATGAAACTCGACGATAAAATCAAAATGAAAATCTGAAAAAAAGTCTAATCCGAAAAAAACTCAAGGCATATGTAACAAGGTTGTGTAAAAAGATTCAACTCAATCCGTAGACGAATGCTTTGAAAGGATGTGAAGTGGGCATGGATGAAAATATATACACAGTACTTGTTTTGGGTTTGGGAAGCAGGCAGGCTGGCGTAGTGGGATGATTGAGAAACAAAGGGTGCCAGGTTCAAGTCCTGCTTGGAAGCGTAAGGGTGTTTTGGAGCACGCGGCCTAGAACGAGGGAAACATAGACGCAGCGAATGGGTGCTGATAGTTCTTTTGAAAGAGTTCCAGCAGCGAACGATATTCTACTTGATGGTGTAATGAGGGTCTAATACAGTGATCATGGTAATCATACTGAGAGTGGTGGGCGCAAAGAGCGACGTCGCTCTCAACTCGTGACGAATACGAAGTGAAAACTACTTCCTGAGTAGTGCATAACCATCATTGAACATGTGCGGGTACATGTAGTACGAGTAGAAATTTCACCGTACATGTATTTGCAATTGTGTATAAGATTGCATGTCAAACTTCTCACAACTCCATGCTCTCTCCACTCGGCGTCGCGCAGCACATCCGCAGCAAGGCTACTCCAATTCAGCAGTTTCCGTCAAACAGCTGTTCAGCCTACATTAGAATGAACATGTGCATGTAGCACATCAGAGAAGTGCTGGTCGCTCCGTGCCTTCGTGAACGAGGTCGCCCGGTGTGCGCAAGCCGTGCCAGTGAGTTTGAAGTCTCGTTGAATTCAAAGGCCTACGACTGATGCCTACTATTTGTTTGGGAACCGTCAACGTTCTAGGGTACAGGGATTGACCACTGTCATCAGAACTCAACGACTCAAGAAATTTCATAATTCATTTCCAAGGGTGAGAACCAAACGTCATCGTTCCTTTCTCATCATAAAGGTTCTAACAGGGAATAAAGCGAAATGACTGAAACAACAAATTACATAGTTTTAGGAAATTAGAGGCCACATGCCACGTACTGCTCTTTTCTCTCCGAAACTCAACACTTGCAAGCCAGATATGAAAGAACGAAAAAAAATCATCAGTCACACCACCGGGACTCGAACCAGGGACCTTGTTATTCGCGAGCAATGCTCTAACCAACTGAGCTACAGTATGACTCTTATCCACAGTGACGGTAAATCTATCCTTCTTCGATCAATCCACATCTGGCCTCTAATTTTCTAAAACTTTGAAATTCTCCGTGAAGTCCAAATTTGAAATTGCAACAAATTACATGGGCAAAGAATTGAAGGACGTAAAACATCACGCTACAACAGGACAAGAGTGAATGGTTCAGTGCAATCCACGGGTCAGACCGCCAAGAAACCCACCACGCGTGATAACAGATTCATGAGATTGGTTACCGAACGAGTGACTTGTAACTGTAAATAGGCTAGAATGATTCATCGGCTACAGTATCGGAGGTGACGACAATGGATGGGAGTTCAACGCAGCGGCTATCAAGCTTCATCTGTCAGGCAGTGGTAGTTGTCGTGAGTTGACCATGATGATGTATTTTCAGTTCTGGCTCGTGGTAGATCTAAATTGCACTTGGCTGTAGGGTCCGGCGGATTCTGCTCGAAAAGGTGGCAGATTCTGCTCGAACTTGAAAGCAGTAAAATTGGCAGAACCATGCAAACCTTATGGCGGGCAATTCCTCGAATTCTGCTCCAGTTTTTTATCCACAATGACATACCAAACATGCATGAAACTTACCAGAAAAAGTACCGAATTCTGCCAATTTTTCTGCCGGCAGAATCCGCCGGACCCTACTTGGCTGTTTCAGAGGCATTGTACGCTCGTAAATTGTCCGCTGATTTATGTGTTCAGAAGGAAAATGTATCGTCCCTTCTGTTGTTTGGGGTTAGTCTCCGTGTGAGGACGTTTCTCTTTATACACTGTACATTCCGCAAGTGGTTAGTCTTATTATTTTGTCTCCTTCATGCTAGCTGTTTTTGACCCACCGATCGCACTAAACGTTTCGCCCTTGTAAGTTGTAGCGTGATGTTCGACATTGTATGTCCTTCAATTCTTTGCCCATGTTTTACCCAATGCTGTAGACAGCAAGCTGTTTCGGCCATGAAAGCGTCATCAGTACAGATACAAGCTTTACATGTAAGTGAGCCGAGTCGCCACAACTCGTTGCTCTTGCGCCAGAGAGCTCAAACTACGAAAGGTAGCGAGCGATGCGTAATGCAGCAGCACTAAAGCAGCCTACCAAGAGCGCTCAAGAAGACAAGTGTCAAGAACATGTTCAATTTTGTTCTTCTAGACTGGTGTGGCCGCCGACGTATGGACGCATGACTTGCCTACTTGAATAAAGTAAAATAATTCGTTGTTACCGTCTTCATTCCGGAGATAGGTGGATTTTGTAGAGAGAAAAAAAGAAAGAAAAAATCCGTCCGTTAATAATTCATCACTACTGACTAAAGTACGATCATGTACATGTACATGTAGGTACAGTTGAACATCGATTATCCGCACATCGACTATCCGACCATTCGATTATCCGTAACAGTTTTTTGCGCGCACGTGCCGTAGAGTACGCACTGTGCATGTAGTGAGCCATTCAAAAAATACGAAAATTTTGAAAAGTAAAAAGTAAAAAGGTCGTGCGGCTAGTAATAACCACTGAAAGTGTGTGAGTGACAGTTTTTTTCTTATCCGGAACATTTGCCTTATCTGAACACCGCCTGACAGTTGTCTGCCCAGAGGTGGTCGGATAATCGATGTTCAACTGTACCATACTTTTTTTCAAGATACACAACTCGCCGGCAGGCACATGGGGAGACTTACTGGAAAAGCAGAATTTTACGGTGGTGTTCTATTTACTTCTGCGCCGACAATTTTTACCTGAAATGAAACGCACCGAAAATTTCGTGACTAGTACTGTAGTACACTTATATTGTAACCGGGAAACGGGTTTACCGAAAATTTACCTCCGCCGAACCGCTGATTTTGGAGAATACCGAAAATATTACACCACCGAAAATGTCTGCTTTCACAGTTGCTGACGTATCAAAAGCAGTGTGGACGACACTGCCCAGACGTTGCTGCCAAGGCTGAGCCCCCAAAGCCAAACTCATATAATAATATAATAATGATTTAATGCTTCAGAAAGGGCTACATGTATAATACTCTTGGTGTGAGACCAAAAAGGATAATGGCTGCAAATTGTCAAGCTTCAAGGAGGGATTGCACATACATGTAGTCAATCTGCCTCTGAAGCTGCCGCAATATCTCTCGCCAGCTCCACTGCCTGTTATTTGTATAAGACATGATCGCTGCTCCAGTGGCTGCTCTCCATTGCAACTTGATGCAGGGTTCTGGCAGAATAGCGGGCTATCAAATTTTTCCCCCTCATTATCCAGGTAGTGAGAGGTGAAAACCATTACTGCTGGTAAAAAGTGGTAATCATTGGGATGCTGGAAGCTTACCATGACAGGTGGTATCCCTGCCTGCAGACAAGCTGGCACTGCTTCCACTCTGTGAAAAATGCCTTATCCCAAACAGCAGACATTAGGCCAGTTCGGAAAGCCTGAAAACACGTGGTCTGAAGTTATTTTGCCACTCTACAGCCTTTGCTTGTGCTGTTTTCTTCTCCTCTTGGTATTAATTCGCGGGATTCGCGTTGGCATCGCTTGAATGTTCAGAAACACACAAACTAGCCTTCGCTTCCGCAGGCCACCACTATGCCTATGCCTTGCACACCTTAGTGGCGAATGCAGACCTCACAAGTGAGTCAGGGGAGAGTAGGTGAGTCTCTCAACCAATCGGGCGTGTAACGGCCCATAACCCTGTAAACTGCATCCTTGTTACCCTCACTCCGAGCTGTGAGTACCCAGTTGACCGTGGGTGTCGGCGCAGTTCACCACGCATAAAAAGTCTTTACTCATGTAAAAAGTCTTTACACGCTCCCTGCTACCAGCGCGGGTCTCGAACTCGGGACCTCATGATTCGCAGGCAAGCCTGCAAACCAATCGGCCATATGCGTTGGTCTTGTATTGTGTAGATATATGCATGGCCACAATATTCCTCTCTTTTGATAGCACTTGACTGCAGGCTTGGCTTTACAACCGTCCACATGTGACAACTACATGTACGTTGTAACTCACAGTGGTCCGGCGGATTCTGCCGGCAGAAAAATTGGCAGAATTCGGTACTTTTTCTGGTAAGTTTCATGCATGTTTGGTATGTGGATAAAAAAATGGAGCAGAATTTGAGGAATTGCCCGCCATAAG